ATATGCCCTCAACGACTTTCTTAGAGACAAGCCGGGCTCATAACTGTCGGAAATGTGGCTTAGTCAGGGTTGAAAGTACGTATCAAGCGTATATGGTTGAGGTCTCTGATTCTTGCAAAAGTGTGCTATCTAGGATCCTATATACGACCGTAAATACCTTATAGAGTATACTAAGCGATTGTGCGGTTTCAAAAGCAGTAATAGCAGAGTAAATACGCTGCTTTTCGCCATATGATATCAGCAAGGCATCAATCAGGCATCAGTTGGTATTGTTCGGTAAGGAACCTCTATATTCCGACAATCTTGTGTGGGTCACGTGCCTAGTCACGTGTATACATCACGGCTGGCACCGTGACAATCCATCCAACTCTGGATACCACAATGCCAAACCCCTCGCACAAAGACTTCTGGAGTCCAAAGGTATGATCCATCTGATATACGTCCTGAACAGTCTTTACATAATGGTTTATAGGCATACGCCATATCCGATATGTCTCTTTCTCTGGCTGCTATCTTCAGTGCTGGGCTGCTTGGTTATCAGAACGAGGAGCTTTTAGTATAGCAGGATACTGCTCTCACTGAAAATGTTTCTGTTTTGGAAAAGGCAGAACGAATGCCGACTACGGTGGATGATGCTTTGAATGCTCTTGACGGGAAGTTCGAGGATATCGAGGCTATGGTGGAAAGTAAGGTTGTCAAGCACTACCTCGGGATCAAACGGTGGGAGTCGAATTGGGTGAAGGAAATGGATACTAAGGAAGTGCGCTTTTTACAAGGCTGTTCTAGCGATGCCATTTCGTCGTATATTGCGGTTAGATAGACAAATAGATGAAACGGTATATATCTAGGACCAATGTAAGAACAATGAATGGGGGCAAGAACAAGGGGGTCAAAATCATAAAGTTTCATAATGAACACTACTACCTAAGGCTTAGCACCGGAAATGCCGACAAATAATTCTATCTTTCTAATTTACTTGTGTTTATGGCAATATGTATGGTAGCAACAAAAAACAATACAAAAACAGAGATAAAGTAAAAAAAATGGCGCTGCCCGGAATCGAACCGGGGCTGGCGCGGCCACAACGCGACGTCATACCACTAGACCACAGCACCTTGCTTATAATGATCGGCATATTTAGGGGAAAATAAACGCAAATTATAAGTTGCTCAATGCGGTTTAGTCGGTCCACCAGAAGTTGATGGTAAGATGGGTTATTTCTACTTCTGCCTTGCTGGAATTGTCAATAGCAGTAAGGGCGATATACATAATGCCATCGCTGGAGCCTACTACTTACTACACTATACGCTGACCAAATAGGCAGGATAATCGTGACCAGACGCGCGATATCGATAAAGCGTCACGACACCGCGTCACTATCCCACTTCATACCTCCAACGATTCTCGCGCATAACGCTTCTTCACTGCAATGGCAGTCGAGGATGGGGAGAAGCCTCCTTCCTACCGAGCTTCCAAATCTGTCCCCTTCGAACTAATCCAACATTCGGGAATTTTCTTCGAAGAGAAGCTCTGTCCGTTGCCCTACCCCGGACTACGCGACAGCATCTAGCTAACACAGCCTGCACACAGATACTCAAGCCCTAAACCTTCTCCTAAACATTGTCACTTCTGGCACCGTCACTTCTGGTCCCGTGTTTGTCCCATCACCACCCCTCCTCGCTGTCGCAGCTACCTTCCTCGTCCATCCCTCCACGACCACCCGTGCCAAAAGCTCCGAAGAAAAAGAAGCGCCCAGCGCAGCCTTCCGACTTCTCCGATTAACAAATACTCTCGTCGGACCGATAGCCGCTAGATTTGATACTGCATTCGCATTCACGCATTTCGAAGCCTCCCGTCATGGAGGCATACGTCGACGCGCCAGCGAGGGTGAAGAGACACCTGGAAATGAGATGCTGAGGAATGAATGGAAACTGCTGAATACGGAGCTGGGACAGTCATCTGCTGTGTGGTCTCGCGCGGAGGACTTCTGGCATGCGGTTGGATGGGCGTTCAACTGTTCTGTCTTGCACCCAGAACGATGGGAACGGTGGCAGGTTTGGTTGCAGTTTATGTGTGAGGTTCTGGAAGATGATTGGAATGAGCGCAACAGGCAGGTTGAGCGGCAGGTACCTAGGGCTGGAAATGGTAAGGAGCAGAAGAGGTTGCGGCAGAGCATACTGCATCAAAGTCTTATCTTCCGGTATATCGATGGGAGTAGTGGGAGCTATGGACGGAATCGAAGGATTCTGAGAGCTATTTTTGCGGATGGGACTTCAAGCTCGGTCAACGAGTTTCGCGAGGTGTTCCGAAACGAGTTGAAGCAACTGAAGCGGGACCAAGAGAACATCAAGAAGAGGGAAGCAGAGGTCAAAATCGACGAAGAACAATACGGCGACTACCTAACCAAAGACGACGACGAGTCGGAAGAAGGTGACGGCAAAGATGATACAGCTACAACAACAGAACGACGTCCCAAACGCACACGAAGAGGAACAAGAAACACGACCACAGAACAACCTACAGCCACCGCAAACACAAACAACACCCTCTACTCCCACGGTACCCTCTCCCTCTTCGGCGGCCTCCCCTCCCTCGCCCTCCGCCAACGCCTCCTGCACCTTCTCTCCGCCGTCTCCGAAGCCCTCCCGAAAACCTTCACAACCCTCGAAGAACTCTACCACCTCTTCGTCGAAAACATCCGCCACCTTCCCCTTCCAATTTACCAATCCTTCATCTCCCCGCACGTCCTTCCCTACTTCTCCGCGGCGGCGCAAACGACACTCTGCGAATTCCTCCTCTTCCGACTCCGCGAGAGCACAGCACCCGAGACAGAGGAGGAGTACCTCAACCAAGCAAAGCTAGAACAGTGCTTTCTGCCATACGCGGCGAGTAAAGCGTCCGTGGTCGATAATACGAAGATGGCAATTGCACTGGAGGCGCTTGTTATGATACTTGCGGAGAGCGAGATGCTAAAGGTCACGCCAGAGCTGAGGGCAGCCGTGGAGGACGGAATTATGGTACGGGCTGATAGGGCGCAGGACGTGAAAAGAAATCAGTCGAGTAAGCAGGTGGAGGATATTGAGTGGTGTTGGTTGCTTGAGAGCGGGGAGAGGTTGTTGTTTATGATTAATGAGTTGGTTCCAAGTATGCAAGCTTCATGAGAAGACGTTCACTGGCCAGCCCTAATCCCATTGCTACAAGGCGCATAGTTTCGTTACAGTCATTTACTAGATAGATACCCATTGCTAAACTAATCTTTTTGATATTGGTATGGTTTTGAATTATATAGTGTCTATAACAAGAAAAACCGATGAAACAAAGTGGGAATATAAAAGCACAAAAATAACACGAAAACAAACCACAACGAAAGATGGTTAAATATATTTACGGCGGAGGCCTGGGCCCAATGATCTGACGTCTAGCACCCCAGGCACTCAAACCCGGACCACCCCTACTCTGATTATCACCGCCCATATATCCATACTGGAAGACATTCCACGCACCCCCAGGTCCAGATCCCTGACTAGGATCCGCAAGACCCTTGGCCGCTGCTTCCTGGGTCTCCTTCTGGCCATCCTCCCACTCGCGCTGACGCTCGCGTTCGCGCTCCATCTCACGTTCCAAAAGCGACTTGGACGCCCAACCACCGGCCTTGGTCTGCTGTTGTGCAGCCTCGCGACGGCTGTTTTCAGCGTCGACTTCGGCGGTCGTACTGTAGTCTGCTGGGCGGTGGCTGGTGGGTTTTGGTGCGACGGGAGGTTTGTTGGAGGCAAGGAAGCGATCGACGCGGTTCTCACGGGCGTTGGTGTATGCGACAGGGTCGGGGAGGGGACGTGGGGAGGTTTGAGGGGATTTCTGGGCTTGGGTTGGGTCGGGCAAGGGGCGAGGGGGTGTTGGTGGAGCAGAAAACTCATCCTGGTTTTTGTTCCATTCGGTGCGGAGCATCCGGCGTTCTTGCTCGAGGGACGAGAAATCATAGCTTGGCTTGGGAGGGACCGGGCGAGGGCGAGGAGGTTCGGCCTTTTTCTTGAAATCCTCGCGTTCGTGTTGGTACTTGAGTTCTCGCTCGCGCGCAAGTTGCAGTTCCCTTTCCAGCTCCTTGACGCGTTGGCTTTCCTGGGATTCAGCCGATGGCAGCGGCGCTACTTTGACAGGGCTCGGCTGGCTGGCTTGATACTGGCTTAGGAACTGACCGTTAAGTCGGTTGTCGGCCATGCTCCGCCTGCGTTGCCTTTCCTGTTCGAACTTTTCTTCCGCTTCCCTTTCCTCGTTCAAACGGCGCTGTTCTTCTGCTTCCCACAGGCGCTTCTCCTCGTCCCATCGTTTCTTCTCTTCTTCAACCTGAAGGCGCTCCTGCTCCCTCAGGCGGGTTGTATGTTCGTCCCATCTTCGTTGTTCCTCTAGCCGGGCCTGTTCCTCTTCAGCTTCTCGCTGTCGCTGACGTGCTTGTTCCGCGCCTTGCTTTTCCACGAGTGCTCTTTCTTCCGCTTCATGTCTGCGCTTCTCTTTTTCTGCAAGACTAGGGACAACCGGAGCGGCAGTGGTGATCTGGCGCCGCCCACCAAAGACCACCCCTTGATTGCCCTGGTCCGCCCCACCCATATAGCCATACTGGTGGATATTCCAAGCGGGAGCCGTAGACGTCTCATCCGTTTTCCTACTCCAGCTACTGACATTTGACGAGTTTGCAGGCGTGGACTGTGCGCTCGAGTTCGGACTGGCTCCACGGAACCGCGAGGGGGTGGTGAGCCTTTGGCTAGAACCAGTTACATCCGGACTCAAACCACTACCTTTGTTGACTTGTGGACCGATGGTACGGCGAAACTTGCTGGGCTGGACGGCGTTTGCCCTGCGACTGAAGGACATGATGCATTGTAGGACTTGCGCAGGGTCTTTGCCTTCGTAGAGATCGACTGTCAGGAACACATCGTGTGGCGGGAGGTTTAGCGGGGGGATCTGGCAAGCGCGAAGAAAGTGGGAGATGTTTTCCATCTGCACGAAGGGCATCGATGACTGCTTGTACTTGACGCCGGGCGAGACAGCTAGGTTGATCAACCTTCATGCCATTAGCTCCTGCACTTGCGCCCAGTTCATTTAGATCATATAGTTTCCAAGGATACATACTTGCATAGCGCCACACCATCTTTGAGCGCATCCAAGAGATCACCCGGGGCTAACTGTTCCTGAAGGACTTCCTCGATCCAGTCGCGCACTTCGGCAGCTGCCTGCGGGGTATAGCGGGACAGTCGTAGACTGCGCAAGTCTTTGTCCAACGACGTAACGGACGCCATATCTGTATTGCAATTCCGATTGTGTATGGGTCACACTAGGTGCATGTAAACGGCTTCCTGCAGATACGGGGGTTTGTTGGCGACTGTTGTTTGGGTGCCTCGAAGTATGGGTCGGATAAGGGGTCCGGTCAGCGGATGACTGTTGAGTGATTCGGATGAAGAGACAACCAGAAAGCCGGGTTATAAGGAGTAAAAAGAGCAGCCTAACAACTGATTGCTAGGACGATGAATGAGACCCGAAATATGTACGAAGCACAAGTATGTATTACTTTGTACTGCTTGTGCTCAGGGGAGGAATGCGGGCGGTCGCTGATGACGTTTGGACCGTCGGAGGAAAAAGGGCGCTGATTCTCCGGAGAGACGCCTCAGCCACGCAAGACCCTACTTACGACCACTACTAGTGATATCTTTTCTTAGCATCTCTTTAGATAACCCCTCTGGCAAAATGAGTCCTATTAACAGTCTCTGGTTCAAGTGGAAAGGCCTCCGATTGCCGTGGCGAAGGTCGTTTCTGGCCGGTATGTATCTTTACTTCTGCGCAGTGGCAAGAATTTATCAGATTGAGTGGTTATAACAGGCTCCGATCTGTCCGGAAATACCTACTGGGAATTCAAGGAGACACTCAGTGCTTCGCGATTACGGCGCATTGTCAGATACAACCCGAAAACTCACTACGCGGACATCAAAGTCTCCCGTAAGCCTCCTGCTTACCTTCCATCCACAACATAAGCAAGAAGCTGACAATTGCATCCCAAGCACAATGGCACCAATGGCTTCGATACGTCCGCGCCGATCCCCCATCCATCGAAGAACAACAACAAGACGTCGTGCGCCAAATCCAAATGAAGCACCTGGCTCGTTTGGCCGATGAACGCTGGGCCAGTAAACCATCCTACCTCGATAAACCCCAGACCCAGCAACCGGAACCGGCATTACGTACAAGCGATCCTACGCTACGGGGACCCGAGGAGAACGCGCCTCCCACACAATCAGAGGGGACAGAGTCGACGACGGAGCAAGTGAGGAGGCACGCAGAAAAGAAGAATCCCTGGGCTAAGGCCAATGCTGGGAATCCGAGTGATTCCTGGCAACCAGAACCATGGACGCCAACTGCTGCTCGGAAGTGAACAGTACGGAGTCCCATGTTGGAGTTATCGCATATCCTATGGTTATTCGGCGTCGAGATTTGCACATCACGGTATTCATGTATTATAGTAGTATTTTCTCTGTATAGTACGGACTTCACGACAGAATCTACCCCATACACAAAAATTGTAGGTCCTATCACTGGACTTCGGGTTGCCCAATCAAACGAGTCGGGTTTACAAGAACCACGCTAGGCCTGTTAAAACGATTGGGTCCCACTTTCCGTTTTGGGTAAATGGGAACTATGTATTGGTAGTAGATTGAATCGCTACCCATTTCCTCTTGAAGGTAGTGAAATGAGGGACCTTGACCTGACCAGGGCTCACCCGTAAAGGGGACGTCATTTGATAGCACAAACGAAGTCCCTTTCAACGACCTCTATAATGGAAGTTACAGGGAACTGTTCGATATTTCCAACGGGCTTGCAGATGCCGCATGGAAAGTTCAAACGGGGCCGTTTTCACATTGGAGAAGTCGAACAATTTGCTTCCCTGCAATACAATCTCATGGCTATCATGGTGGGCCCGTAGAATTGTTCCGCGAGTGGGGTCCATGAAGAAAAGACCATGACCTGTTTTATCAAGACAATGTTGGTTATGCAGTGGAATAGTTAAGATACCAAATAATTGGCATATATAGAAATAATCACATGTCGTGTGAAGTGCTTAAACGATATTTGACTGCTGATTGAACGGATCTGCTGGCAAGAAGGGAGATTCCTCTCGAAAAACAAGTTGTCCAAACAGTGTTGTTTTAGGATGGACTTTATGAAGCCCCTGTAGCAATGATCAGTATTATTACTCTTAGCCCAAAGAAGAAGAAGGAAAACGGAAGGTATACTTACGAAAAATCCATCCACGTATATCTTCAAGAGATTGACCACGTCCCTGCTCAGAATCTGGGATACTGGCTCTAGTCGCGCCAAATATCCACGCAAAAAGAGCACAGAAGAAGCCAGTCGAGTCCTGCCCATCATGGCGGGCAATATTCTAACGCCATGGGAATAGAAGAGATCACCTGTTGCATCGCATCCTCAGAACCAAACGAATAATTCTGTAGTTCTGCTTCAGACATTGGCTGGAAGAACTCTATCGGCTTGGATGCATTATCGCTCGTTGGATAATCTACTGTTGGAAGTGCTTCGGCCCTAATGCCTAGGTAATTGAGATGCGCTTGGACCAGCGCAGAGACTGGAAGAGCCTTGAGGTCGCAGAAAATGTTGTAAGTGTTTCGTGTAATCTAGACTTTCCAAGTTCGCTCGATACGTGAATAGACTGATCAAAAGACACGGGGGCAGACATATCGACAAATAGTATAGATGAAGTAACGAGCGGAAACTGTTAGGTCGATTCTGAGGGTAAAATAGAATCAAACATGGAAGTTTGAGGTATAATCAGAGTATCGTCGATCCATGGTTCTTTGTTCGGTTTTAAGCATCGGAGCCGTTTCTTGGGGGACCTCTTTAGATGCCTCGGTACGCAGAGATCTGCTATAATACATATATATTCAGCTATTGATATTAAGTAGAAAACCAGTAGAAGTAATTAATCAGAACAATAATAGAATCTATGTCGTGTGCTTTCTAACACACTACCTCTCTTATACAAACACCAACTTGGCTCTATTCACTGTAGCTGTGAAACGCCCCCCCCCCCCCCTTTTTTTTTTTTTTTTTTTTTTTTTTTAAAAAAAAAAAAAAAAAAAGACAAAGGAAAGAAAAGGAAAGGAAAAACCGTGCAGTCAATGATAGTCAGTCAGGAGCGTGATATTGGAACGCGCTTTAAAGCAGGAGGTAGGTCGCGGAGGTGTCAGTTCTTTTTTCCACTGCGATGTGGAAGAATTGCCTGCGTTGAATGGACAATGTGTCTACCAGTCTCACCCTACTTGCTGAGCAATATTGCTAATATTCTAGTCGCTATCTCCTTTCGCAGGGCCGACATGGCTACGTGACTTTTAAAAGCGAGAATGTGCCAGTATGGGCCGTGGAATCTGACCAATAACCGGTGGATTGGGCTCTTTTCTCATACGACTGTTGCGTTGACGCTCGCTGGGGGTGGAACAGCCATGAGCAGGCACTGGGTGGAAGGGTGCACGAGGCGTGGTTTCGTATTGCTTGTTTGTTTATTTCAAACAGGGATCTCACTGTTCTCAACGTAAGCATAAGCAGTAAAGCATAATCGAGAAGTACTTGAATGTATGATTCATGCTTTGGAGTTGGAAAGATGATGTCATGCAGTATAGAGCTCCAAATTTCTATTAGGGATATCATGACAAGAATGATCTTAGAATAAAATTAGAAATGTTATTAGTAAAATGGGAAGGCCTATACCCAAATCCAAAGACCCAGTCCAGAGACGCTAAAAAAGAACAATTTATACCAACAAACACCGAAACGACCACTGCCAAATAACAAATATAAGAAATACAGTAAAGTACACGAGGTTTTATGACCAAGGTGACATATAGTCAGTCAGTAATAGACAATAAAGTGAAAGCAAAAGGATATCAATTTCTCAGCACAGCACAGCTTCCAAAGCATCAATGTCGCCTCCTGCATTTCTCACAGCCTTCAACGCAGCCTCACCCAGTTTGCGCCGGCGCTCGCGCGCTTCCTGCTCACGTCTCGCCTTTGTCTTGGAGCTACCACTGGGAGCAACCCCCGTCAAGATCCTATCGCCGTCACTCGGGGTGAAGTTGACAAAAGACACGGATACGGACTTGTTGGAGCCCCTCGGGCTGTGTGCCTTGGCGGGTTTAGGCGTGTTCGAGGGAGCGGACATCTTGCGCTCATAGCTGCGGCGGTGTGGTGTTTTCATGGCGGTCCCTGTTCGTGGTGTTGCTGTTACTGTTGCTGGGCCGCTCTTGGGTGATGCAGCAGCACCCTTGTTCCTCGGGGATAGAGAAGGTGACCGGGTGTGGTGCTGGATTTGAGGGGTAGCGGCGAATGAAGGATTCATGTGTGTGCTGGAGACGGGGTGGTAGGTTTGGCTTTCCTGAGCCGTAGCAGGCGCCGAGGAAGACATGGTCGATGAAGGAAAAGATGGTTCTGCTGGTGCAGACATGTCGAACGAGGGATCGAACTGGATCATAAGTCCTCCTTGCAGCATGTCATTATGCTGGTCGTGGTTCGGGATGGGTCTTTGAGGAGTTGGCGCTTCCAGCATCGGTTGGTATGAGGATTGCTGCTGCGGCGCGAGTCGCGACGCCATAGGCGACCACCACTGCTGCGCATCCTGATTAAGGTCGGGAGTGAAGGAGAAAGCGGATGGTGCAAGTGAATCAGAATACCACGAGGACAAGGACTGGGAACCCGAAGAGTGCGGAGACGAGAAAATTTCGTCGGCCGAGGGAGGACTGGAGGTCAATGTAGTGCTATTTGGCTGGCTCATATATCTGTGTTGGTGTCTAGCCAATGCACCCACCGAGGGCGAGGGCATAGAAATGGCTGGAGATTGGTTAAAAATGCTCGAGTCGTACTGTTGAGGCATCTCGGCAGAATCACCCCAAAACTGCTCTGTAGAGCCGTTCAGGTGAGTTGAGTTATTTGCAGAAAGGTTCTCGTGTTGCGCGAGAAGATCGGTTGGTGGCGGAGACAGCGGTAGATGGTCGTCTGAGCTATGGAGGCTGAATTTGTGGAAGCGTGGGGCAGAAGCTTCAGAATATGCCATTCTAGCTTTTTGGGCGCGTGAAGAGCGCGTCAAACTGGGGGAAGAGCTCTGCTTGCGCAGCAGGCGACGGCGGTCACCCGTATCCTGATGATGACGGATAGACTTGGGAGTGGTTATACCACTACCCATACAAACTTTCTTGCGGGGCGTCTCGGGAGGGGTCGACAGCGGAGTAGAGGATAGCACATGAGCTACTGCAGGTCGGGAAGAAGAGGAGGATGACTGAGCGTCAAGATTGAGACTCAGGTTAGACACAGCAGAAGGTTGGACAGTATCATGGAAAGAAAAGGTGCCCTGATCGATGGACGAAGATGACGCAGCGCCGGTCTCTTGCGGCAGACTCCAGAGGTCTTGAGTAGGAGTACTCCAGGGCTGAGGAGACTGACGGGACCGCTTATTGGAGGGGGAAATAATGGGCGATGAAAGAGCGCCACACTCACTTGACAATGAGTTGAGTGGGAATAGTTGGTCAAAGTCGCCGCTGGGAAATGAAACGTCTTTGTTGTCATCGGAGCTCGAGGATTCCACATTGACATACTGGTTAAATATGTCATTGAACGAGTGCTCGAACTGTTGGACAAACATCTTTGCTGCTTTGATTTCCGTTTGCGGCGATGAACGAATGACTGGACCAAAGTCTGGTACTGGGGTGAACCACACAAGGTTGTTATTCAATATGATTGGCAAGGATAAAGAAAGCCAAAAAGGTCAAAGCAATCTGACTCGAAAAAAGAAAATTCGAAATCGGCAGAGTTCTGCAGCGAATGATAGCCTTAGGCAAGAAACGAGTGTATGCTCCGTGATGTAGGAGCAGTTTGAACGATTGACAATCAAAGAAAACACTGCAGAAGATGCAAAGGAGACAAAGCAAACAAACAACCGACTTCAGGGGTCTATTTGAATCGTTGCGACTTTGTCCCAGCCTCAATGGTTTCCCTGCGCATTCCAATGACCGAGGAATGTGCCCTAAGGAGACTCTCTATACATGGTCCACCACAGGCCAATGGAAGGGAGATCTCTCCAGGTTTCCCAATAACCAATTGTAGTACGTCAAAAATCAGGATGGCTGAACGCATTTCCGACCCTCTCCATGCTATCCAGTGGAAAGAAACGCCCTGAGGAGACAGGAGATCCGGCCGGCCACCTTTCGGAATGTAACGCCCGCTTGCTAAACCAAAAGCAGTGGCCATGGTACCAGTAGTAGCAAGAAAAGATAGCAGTATCAGAAAATAAACACGACGGTTTTGGAAAGGTATCGCAAAGCATCTCAAACCAATAATAGTAGCAATACAGAGTAGTGCCTGCTGATCTATGCACCTGAATCATGAACGGGGGCTTGATTGACCTTGACTCCCGCTGCAAATTCCACCTATAGCCGTCGACCACAAACTTTGCTGTGGAGAAGTTGGACCTGTCAATTATCTCACCAGACTGGCGGGTGTAAGCGTCATGACACTGCTTGTTTGTCAAGGAAGCTACTTCCTTAGCCTCCAACAAAACACGACCACAGTGGCCAGGATGATCTACAGCAAATAGTCAGGATCTTTCTCTCTGGAATGCCAGTTTGATGCTTTTGTCCGCAATGTACTAGTTTGGATGTTCCAAACATGGTTCGAGTGGCATCATTCAGGAATGCGGGAGGTTGGATGGAATGCAAGCCTAGGCCAATAATGCACAATCAGATCTCTGGAATGTGACAAAATACTGGACACTCACTCTCTTATCTGCCAAGGTGAATTCTGGTTGACTCGGAAATAGAAGCAAGACCAATTTCTATAATTATTCACTTTTATGCCGAGCCTTCATAAAGCACAGAACGCATGCGTCCGAAGCCCACCCAAGACTTCTCGAAGGCTTGCGCATTGCATTGCAAAGCGGACTTGTACCTGTAACCCATTTTTTCGTACATGGTACTCTTCCGAATCGATATGTTCTGTCTTCTCTGGTCCGGATTGCTTGTAATGGGGTGCGTACGTGTGATTGTGCTTGCGCAGACTGGGTCCATTCGATTGGACAATCCAAACAGTGTGATGAAGCCAGAAGTGGTACGGATTAGATGAATTAAATACGGCTATTTCGAGGTTATCGGCTCGTGTTTGTTCCTTTCCTTTGTTCCTAGCCTTCCTCATCACAGCCTCGTGGGGTACCAGGGAGTGCATAAGGGCCAACGAGGTGCAGGAACCGAGGAAATAACCACAGCATTCTTTGAGTCTACCAACGTATTTATCCATCTTCCCGAAGCTGAATCGACTCGGAACCTTAGAAAATCCACCTTATTCTATGCAAGACAAGATCGCCGACGGATAAAGCCATATAAAGAATGATTGATGGAAGATATACTTCAAAGTAAATCCAGGCTTTTGGTACACTTTCTTAGCATCGGACATTCAATTTTTTTTTTTTTTTTTTAAAAAAAAAAAAAAGAATAGCGTCATCATCATGCATAGCATATGGAGTATTAGAGGCCGTATGACTATGACATTAGCGAAGCGTCATGAAATGTTGCAGCCCAATAGCATATTAACTTGTTCACCATGTTGGCGAATAACTCCACTGTACATAGTATGTTCCTGTCAGCCCTGTGATATTGTACGGAGATTGTACGGAGTATGTATCCAATTTAGACATGACTTTTCCAGTAAGTTCTCCCAAACACGGAATCATCGCTGACTCAGTATAAACCCGGCTAAACCAGTTCCGGAAATCCGAAGACGCACAGGTCAGGTGATGATGACGGAAAGCTGAGCGATCCGATTTCGCCCCTCGCCTTCTCTTTCTCCTTTCCTTTTCTCCAGCACCGTTAACCGTGCTGCTTCTACTACCATCTATTGTTATTGTTTGTGGGTCTAACACCTTTTCAAATCAGTTCTGCTTCTTGACTGGAGTTAGAAGGCACTTTTTCTATTTTTACCTCTCGCCCCGGTCTTCCCCGCGGCGCCTCTACTCGTGTCAGAATCCCACGCACAAGTGGGAATAACACCACAAGACCCAATACTCTACTACCTTTGCCCTTGACGTCTCTCTACACGTTTTCACGATCGATTCTTGTCCTTTGAAGACAAGTCTTAAGACAGATAACCACAGAGACGCAGCGCGTTCGTGGTCTTCGACTATTAAGCCCTGAATATCGACACCTCTCCGCTCCGGATTTCTTCGTTCTACGTCACAAATTCACGGTCTATATGTATTGCTTCGGAGCAGTATATCTCGAATTGTTGAAAGGAAAAAAACAGGTCCAACCGTGTCGTTTACGCAAGAACGAGAAACAATCTTCAAGAATTACCAGGAATTTGAGTCATGGCTTTTAAGTGCATTAAGGTCGGGGGTTCCCTCGTCATCGCTCTCCCTTAAACGAATTCCCATTCACGTCAGCGCTTCCATCATGGACCTATATCGGTTTACTGGAGGCCACCAAAGCCATTCGATTTTCAGAAAATCAAAACTCAACAATCTCTTCACGTCGAACAAAACAACACAAACAACCTAAGTAGTTTGTTACGCCTTTCACGCTTTTTCCTGGTTCTCGCGTTACGTGCAGACCGTTGTTTTAGGACACGGATTTCCCTTTTTTCAAAATGGGCGAACCAACTGCCTTGAGCAGAAAGTCCTGGGAGTCGCTTTCTTCTACATTCTCGAATCTTGAAGTATCCCTTTCCCAGGACAGCAGCTATGCATCCGATGAGATTTCGGTCGTTTCAAGCAATCCGACTACGGTGGACACGTCGATTGCTTCGAGCCAGGGACCTCCATCAGAGTCCAAATTGCGTCCGTGCTTGAAATCTATCCTAAAGAAGCCAGAGACCGAGCCTGAAGAAGAGGATGCGCAGTCGGAATCAGGCTATGGGACTGATGTGTTTGACTGCGAATACGAGACTATGTCCGAACGAGAAGAAGAAGAGGAAGAGGAAGAGTTGTACGAAGTGTCTATTTGCTGGGACACTGACGATGCCATGTCCGAAATTGTCAGTGAAGACGAAGATGGAATGTTTGATGATTCATTCATCGCTTTTGAGTCAATGGTTCGGTTTGATCCGAATGTGCAGTACATTGAAGCGCCTGAGCTCAAGGAAGACGAAGGTCCTGACACTGGGCTGACCTGCCATGAGCTTATGGAGATGGCGCGGTCTTCCGGCAGCCTCCAAACTTTCGATGGAGAAAATCCGACCGCAATCGAATCGACTGAAGAGCATTGGCGGAATGCCATTGATTCTGAGGAATACCCAGGAGACACAGTTGATGTGGACAGGCAGTTGTTTGTGGCATATGTCAACGGCATCAAAGAGATTGCCGATTCCCAGTACAAAGGACGGCTCCGTGCTTTGGTGGATGACATTCGATTGGGACAGGCAGAGACTCCGTATTTGGAGACCAACTGCAGCGATGGGGTATACATGGACCATGCGCTGAACCATGTGATCGGAGTATTCCGCAACCTGCTTGTACCTGACGAATTTGAAGAGCTGGTCGCGCTCAGCTCACAAAAGATGAGTTTGACGCCGCAGACAAAGGCACTAGAAAGCCATAATGCGAGCTTGATGGACCGTATCCAAAAGCTGCTTGTTGAGCGATTGGCCCAAGGCAACGTGGATGTGGAGGCGGATGAGCTGAGCTTTTTTGCCGGAGGCGTCACGTATGCTCTGGAGAATTGGAAGGTCCATTAAAATTGACTAAAATTTTCGGGTTCTCGTTTTCTTGTGAATAGTGTTAAAAAGCATTAGCGGGTTTCTTTCAGAAGTTTTACGAAGTGATGTCAAGTATATTGAAGCTAGCCTAGACAGCATAGAGTGTTGATTTATTATCCTCGGAGTGTTTGCTCGGTTTTAGCCTTGTCAGCCTTGCCCTTGGCCTCCGCAAGGACCAGCAGTCATTTGACGTGGTCAATATGACATTTCCTGTCTCCCTTCTTTCCAATACTCTTGCCCCTCCGTACGATGGCTCGTATATATTATAAATTGTTGAACAAGCTGAAAACCCACATCCGGAAACGTCATCAACGAGCCACCTCTCCGTTCTGCAACCTGCCCGTTGAACTGGTCGATCATATCATCCAGCACCTCGATCCAGCAACGTTATGTTCATTTAGATTGGCTTGCAAAGACTTGTATGAGTTAACACTCCCCCAATTTGGAAGCAAATACATCGACGGGATCATCCGAACGGACCTCTCCGTGCACAGTCTCGATCGATTGCGCACACTCGCGGATAATCCGAGACTAGGGCAATATGTCCACCGGCTATTGGTCACTAGTGAGGATACGATATACGGCAAGGGGATCATCTGGAATCGACATGCGGACGGCCATCTCGTGGATCCTCTCCGCCAGGATGGAGTACAGCAACTGCAGAGAATCTTGAGATCTTGCGTTAACTGCACCTCTTTCCAGATTGATGATTCCATGGCATCGGAGGATAAATACGAGGACCAGTTCCTGACGCGCAGTGATGTTCTTACCATTCTGTTGAATATTATTGCTGATACGGGATTACCGACGACGTCGTTTCTGGTAGATTTGGCGGAAGATGGTGGAAGTGGTGGTTGTGGGATCGATCCAAGACGGTTGTTGAATCTACCGAATCTGCGTGGGAGGAACTTCATCGCTGCTTGGGCTCATATACAAGAGTTGATGCTTGATTACAAGATGGAGTCTCGCGTCGCCGTGGACATGGGGATTACATTTATCCAGCAGGCGCCGAATCTCCAGAAGTTGTCCATGTCGTTCGATAACGGGGGAGACGCTGCATTGTTTCTGAGGAGGCTCATGCACATGGATGTTCTTCAACCGCCAATACAACTACAAGAAGTCTCACTCAGCAAAACGTTTGTATCAGGGGATGATCTGGCGGCGTTACTTTGTCGCGTTGGCCATTCTCTCCGCGTTGTTTCGTTTCGATGGGTCCGTCTTACCTCTGGATCTCGCGATCGGTGGAAGGAGATACTCGAGACACTACGAGATCAATGTCCATATTTGGATACTTTTGGCCTGTTTTGGAGTCGGATTACACCACACACACTCGCTAACTTCCCTTTGATTGCTGAGAATCCGATTGTTGGTGCTGGGTCTGAGGCGAGGGCGTTCGAATTCAGTGGACCGAGGAGGATTGGAGCGGTGAAATATTCAGGGCCCAGGATGGATCTGGCTTTGCAGAGATTGGTAGACTCGATCGAGTACAGGGGTATGTGATGTATGTATACCTAAGGTATACATCAACGCAATGTCCACCGGGATCACTCCCGGGATCATTGCATACATGCTAGTATTTCCAACACACTGACCGTGTATCCGTACCCGCCGGGGATTCGGGGCACGAGCATTGCATCATAGTCAACCCGACTGAGTCAGGGTCACCTGTCCTGCACAGTCCGGCCCTCTGTACGACAGACAACAGAGTATGTACTCTAGCATCCACAGCCAAGCTTCTGTCTATTGGAAAGCAATCGGAGGAATAAGGAGCTGACAGTTTTCTGGAAGAAAGATGAAAGAGTTCTTGTGCATAATATTTCCCCTGGTCTGTGTTGGAACCCATGGATATGGAATGAACTATCGGTGGTTTTTGGGGAATAAAACCCATGGTTCCAGGGTTGATGGACAAGAACTATTGGCGGTGCGGGGCAGTAGTGGCCATTGCAGTGGGAGAGAGCCGACCTTGTATGTAGTGTTACATGGGTACTCGCACAAAAGAGATTATTCCGTTGGAATGGAAATATGATCATTTTGGCAATTGAATTATCAATTTATGCATTCTGCATAATAGTAGTATACACGGCGTAATGTGTAGAGTGTCATTGACTGTGCAGTGGGAATAGGGTGGCCCCTGGGATTCAAAGTTACTATGTAGGTATGCCCCTGACCTGACCAGTGGAGCAGAGTCCATCTACAGTCAGTGCTTGGTAGTCCCAACACTTGCTTTTTCTTTTTGCTTTTTTAACCATGGCACTTGGTTTGGTTGACATTGGAAATACTTGCTCCCTCTCATAAATATTAAATACTTGCTTGTACCTCCGGTGCAAGTATTGACTCGATCTATATTCCTCCGTACCCTCCGTATACTTCTACTGCGTACGTCGATCGTGTGAAACTCTAACCGCACCTCCACTTCCCTCTCCTGATTTCCCCCAACTTTGGGTTGTCTTTTTTTTTCATCTTTCCCTCTTCATCTCTTTTTTTCTCCTGAACATTCTCTTTCATTGCTTCGTTCATTCTTTTCTTCTTCGATTCTTTGTTCTTTTTTAGATTCTCCTTCTCCTTTATCACCTCTAGTCCCCGCCCTGACGGCCGTCACGTTCTCTGCAAGTCACAAAAATTCCCCGGATTCCAAAACGTTCGTTGCTTTTTTTTCCTTCTCCTCTTCTGCTGGACATGAAACGGTTATAATCCTTTCTTACCACTTCTTCATATAATTTCACGGGTTCGTATTTGTATTAGTGTTCAAGTGGTTGCGAATTTGAAGCTGACTCTGTTTCGTCCTCGCAATTAGAATGACCTGGTGTTTCTAAACCGTGCTTACGAAGCTTCTCCAATTCTGAGCTCAGATCGAAATATTCTTATATAAAGACCCGAAGAATAACAAGATAAAAAAAGAATTCTTCTGTGTGTTATTGCGACTCCACGTCGCAGGTGCCACAGAATGCCCCCTCTTAGCAAAACCCCCGAACCTTTCGACTTCGGGTCTGTTTCACGCTCTCGCAGCACAAGCATATCGAGCGATGGCCAGCTCCCACGGATCAATCTCCTCCTCCCGCCTCCCGTGAGCCCCCAACCAGCCTTCATTGCCTCGTCCGCCGCTGCGCAGATCATTACCGCGGACCAGGAGTTCAACACAGTCGATTTCGTCGCCGATGACCACGATGGGGAAGGCAACGGCGACTCTGCCAGTGCGCTGGTCACCCCAGATGCTCTCTCGCATCTAAACGGCTTCCTCGACCATCTGCTATTCAACATCCTGGCCGTCTCCAAATCCACACAGCTCTCCAGTATCCGACCCGCTGTCGCTGATGTGCTGAAACCTCGCCTCGCCAAAGAAGTCGTGTCTGCCGCGGATGATGAATTGAGTGAATACATGGGTGGTGAGGGTGATGAGCATCTTGAGTTCCGTGGTGGCCAACAACCTACCGGCGACTTCGATCTCGTCCGGTCGTGGAAGCGTACTCGACTACGCTGTATGGTCTACACCCGCCTGGGTGACATGGAGGAGGACGAGGAGGACGAGCACATCGTCCGCGATGGTCTGGCAGAGACAGAAACCGCCCCGCGACGCTTCGCCAGTCATGTCGACAACATCACCCCCGCTGCAGCCATCTTTCTCACCTCTATCATCGAGCACCTGGGCGAGCAGGCTTTGATCATTGCCGGCGAGACAGCCCGATCTCGGTTGTCAACCAAGCTCAGCATCGAGCACGATGAGATTACCGAATCCGGTGCGGAACGTGGCTGCATCGATCGTCTGGTCGTCGAAGACTATGACATGGAAAAATTGGCGATGAACGCCACCCTCGGCCGGCTCTGGCGCACGTGGAGGAAACGAATGCGCACCCCGAATCTGTCCCGTACGCTCTCGCGAGAGTCTTTCCGTCGCCGTGGCATTGCGTCTACACTGGCGAGCAGCCGCAAGAGTAGTGTCATCACTATCGATGAGCTTCCCGCGCGTTCTGTTACCTCGTTTGAGACCACCGAAGCGCACGAGGAAGAGATTGACCCAGCGTCTATTCCTTTGCCCATGTCGGAGCACGACATCAAGGAAATCTCTATCCCGGGTTTCTCAGCCGAACCGGAAGGCGAGATTCAGACTATGGAAGCTGTTGTGGCCCACAAAGTGCGTCCACGAAGTCTCATGGTACTCCCGTCTCCTTCCTTTCCCCGATCTCGCTCCGTCGCAAGTTCCCCTGTGGCTGGCCCTGAGTCCCGTCCAAAGCTGAACCGCCACGCCCGTTCGCGCTCGCTGCCTAACAATTCGTACTTTCCTCTGGACGTTGTGGCAGCCCAAGAAGAAGCTGCACTACCCGTGGATACGGATGCCAATAAACAGGAGGATGTTCAAAGTATTGTGTCCCCCACTCCGTCGGAGGAGCGACGCCGGTTGGAGACCATGTACGAGCAGGATGAGTCTGTTGATCCTGAATCCACCGGTCTGGCAATCTCCACGCCCACAGCGACTGAATTCTCAAACGAACATCGTCACTCCGAAGGGGCGAAGACACCTACTGCACGCCACTCTATCATGGCTCCTTCTCTGTCAGGTGCATCGATTGAGGTTGGGGTCAGTCGGCCTGGCAGTGCCCAAACGGCGTATCTGAACGATGAGACCCAGCGTGGTGTTACTGAAATTATCGAAGGTCGGGGGACATCTAGGCCAACTTCGGCCATCCAGCGTCCACGGCGTAAGGCCAGTGACGACTCGAAGAAGTCCCTCTCTGCTTCAGCGTCCAGCGCGTCTGGCGTGCCAGCCGAGGTCGAGGTACCCATTCCGACGCAAGGGACTGATGGCGACTCCACCGACGCACAAAAAGCGGCCGACGATGCATCCAAAGCCGACGATGCGAAGAAAACAATTGGAAAGACCTGGTTTGCTCTTGATGATGAAGATGACGAGGAGGCTTGTCCTGCTCCTTCTGTTCCTAGACGCTCATCGGCTGAGCGCGCAGGTCGGTCCTCTCCGGCTTTTGCTACATCCAACCGGGCTTCTGTCCAACGGGTTCCCGCACAATTATCGACGCTTTCCAAATCGGACAGCAACAGTGAAAAGCGCCCGCCTACTGCAGGGTCATCCGGGTCTCAGGTCTCGAATAAGCTGAAAGGCATGGTTGGCCGATCACCGCGCGGGGAATCTGCGTCTCCGCATGTTCGTAGTTCATCTGAGACTAGCCGACCATCAAGTGGTAGCAGGAATTCACCAGGGTTGGACCAGCTAATCCAAAGTGATGAAACAATTCATTATACCTTGACGCCCAAGAACATGAGGGACATGGAGGAACCCGATTCGCCTCGTTGGAAAGCCAATCGTTCAAGCACGGTGGATTTGGCTGATTTTTTGAAGAGCACTGCGCCTCCCGGTGGTCCAAACCCGAAGGTGAATTCCAAATCACCTGCCAGGCCAGTATCCAAGTTTCAATCGATTGTGCCAGCCAGCGAGGGTCTCTCGTCGCCTAAGGATGTGAAGCCTGCCGCCGATTCGACTCGCGACTTTGCTAGTCCTGTGAAGTCGAGTGGACCTGATGGCCCTGCTAGTGCGAGAGAGGCTACCAAGAGTCCCGACGTCATTTCTAAGCCAACTCGTCGGTTCTCTGATGCTACAGAAATATCCAAGAAGTTTATCAGGCCGGGTAGCGGTTTGTCTAACTCGACAAGAAACACCTCTGGTCCACGGTTGCAGGCTCGTCCCGCTGTGGCTCCCAGAGGAGAGCAGACGTCCGAGCTTATTGACTTTATCCGTGAGGGCCCGCCTACGCCTGGATCTCATCGCATTTCCCGCTCCGTTGCACCATTCCGGAATACAATGGACTCTGATGACATGAACAATTCTGCTTCCCGGGCTTCCGGTGAGAGTACCCCTAATGATTCGATGGCCACTAAGTCTCACACCTCGTTGGGTTCCCGCACGGGGCTCTTGGACTCGTCCAACCGCGCCAACGCCAAAGCAGATGCTCCTGCGCCCACCTCGGCTCCCTCCGGTGGTGCGAAGGCATTTGATGACGACCCGATGCCTGTCCGAAAGCAACGACGGGTCCGGGATCCGTATGCCATTGATGACGACGACGATGAAGAGCTGGAGGAGCTCTTGAGACTTGAAGAGAAGCCTCAGCGTAAGGAGGAAAGTCTCATTGATTTCCTGCGCAGCGAGCCTCCTCCTGATTTTGATTCGACTCCGCAGCCAATTGCCACAACCAACCTGACCACTGCTTCGAGCAAATCTCCAAGCAGTCTCACTAGTGCATCTGCCATGAAGGCCCGTTTCCTCCGTAACAACACAGACAAATCACCCACCTCGAAAACCTCGAAGACAACTTTGCACTCCGCCCAGACTGATCCTCGTCCCTCTGGTCAGTCAGATTATGCCAACAAGGTTGGCATGGAGCGAAACGGCGGGAACAAACCAGCTGCAGTGCATGTCACTCATGGGTCCACAATGCCCAAGAGACAGACCGACACCAGCGACTTGGCTGACTTCCTCAAGAATACTGGGCCTCCAGAGCCTCCTCGGGCACCTTCGGCTTTTGCAACGAGCAAGCCAAAGGACTCGAATGGCATATCCCGGTTATTCGTGCGGAGAAAGAAGGTTGAAGCTTGATTTGACCTTTCTGCCTTGACGAGTTTCCTTTCTCTTTTTTATTCCCCCTTTCTTGTATATGTGTCGAGGCTCTCTATGCCTATGGCTGTCATGTGTTTTGGAGTGTCCGAACCATTGCGATTATATTTGGGCCTTTCCTTTTTCGGCTTCTTTATTTTTTCTTCTTTTCTTTCTCTTCTTTCTCTTCTTTCTCACCACTTCTCTTTTATGGCTCACCACGATTTTGGTATATCTCATTTTGGCTGGTATTTTCTTACTTTCTTTAATCTTCTTGTTTCCTTTAATTTCTAATGTCTGGATTTGATCAGAAACAGCGGGAATATCTTGGATTTCAGCATTGGGTGGACTGTTCCTTCTTTACTATTTTAATTTCCTTGTTATATTACCAACCTGTATATAGGAGTTTATCTGTTTTTTACAATTCGAAAATCATGACTTATCATTTATTATTTCCATTGCTATAATATTCGTCCATATATTGTAATACTGCTCCAGAGTAGAGTTGTAGCGAGCGGAAATCCGCCCGGAACATTATTCCTCCACCTCCTTAGCAGCGGCGTGGCATCACCAAAACAGTTCCTCCGGCCTCGAACAGAGTACGTGTCTCCGACGGGGTCTACCGATCGAGAATCCAATTCTTCTCCGCCCCGTTTCTTTTTCTCTTCTCGAGCTCCATGAACTAAACCAATCTACCAACGCAAAAATGGGGTTTACGCTGAAATCACTCCTCCGCCCGCTCCTCTCCCTCCTCATCCTCGCGCAGCTGACATCGGCGCTCCGATTCGACCTCCCCGCTGTCTCCGGCCACAGCTCGAAGAATGAACGGTGCATACGGAACTTTGTGCTGAAAGATCAGTTGGTCGTAGTGACAGCGATTGTGGATGGGAATAAAGGGGATGGTCAAATGGTCAACATGCACGTATGTTTTTCCCGTACCTTTTCGGGGGACGCCATTGGAAGCAATCGGAGGGGCAATGCTAATGGAGCGATATAATATAGATCAAAGACGCTCTTGGCAACGACCACGGCCGTCCGAAGGACGTCACTGGCGAGACTCGTCAGGCCTTCACCTCTCCCGCGGACATTGCGTTTGATGTGTGCTTTGAGAATCAGCTCGTTTCGCACAGTACGTCCTCCATCCCCAACCACATCTACACATGCTAGGAAGTATATTGATAAATAATGTAGGCGCCATCACTAACCCCTACCGCTCGATCGAACTCGACATCGACATTGGCGCCGATGCCCGCGACTGGTCCAGCATCCAAGCGCAAGAGAAGCTCAAGCCCGTCGAGACAGAGCTGCGTCGTATTGAAGAAATGGTCGCCGAGGTTGTGAACGAGATGGAATACTTGCGTGCGCGGGAGCAGAAGCTGCGGGATACCAACGAGAGTACCAATGAGCGGGTTAAGTGGTTTGCGTTTGGGACAATGGGGATGCTTATGGGACTGGGGGCTTGGCAGGTTGTTTATCTGCGGGCTTACTTTAGGTTTGTTCTTTCCTTTATACTCCCTTTGGCCTGTCGGCTGTGTTGGGGTTAGAGATGGCTAACTGTAACAGATCCAAGCACCTTATCTAGATTGATTGACGGGTTGGGACATCCAGGGTGAATTATAATAAGTGTTGATGATAATAACTGTTCCTTTCCTGCTTTGTCTTATGACAAAATAAGAGTTTGTATTCTTGTTGCATGCACAGACTTGAATACTCTCGGATAGATTTGTTTAAAATCATGATTATGAAACTCTAGTTCTCGGAGTAATATCGTGGTCCAGTTAACCATTACCGCTCGACGTACTTATTCTTTATGAAACCTGCAATGCGATGCCGTATAACTATCGAATTCAATATCCTGTATAGACCAGCGGGTCCGTAATCCACCGGCCTCCGTTGGTCAATCGATGCAAACACTACAAACAAGCTGCAGCATGAACTCCGGATGATGTCAATCCCGCCATCCTCGGCCAAACCTGGGGCACGTTTGTTCATCTCCTCATTCTCGACACTCCCAATTGACACTGAACACTAAGATTCAGTGAGAGAATTTGATAAAAAAAATGTCCGCACCACGTCTCATCACCCGTTTCCTCCGCCCTTCGACGGCAACGACCAACCTCCCCTTCACACGCACCTTCACCACCACAACCTTCCGCAACAGCGACCATGAAAACGACAAAAGGCTACGCCCCGACACATCGCTCGCCCCCGAGCATCGCAGAAACCAAACCTCTAAGCCCCCTAATCAAGCTATTCCCAACACCACCTCCACCATGACTGGCGACTACCCGAAGGTCGGCGCGAAGAGCGCACCCCCGGAGATGCTGAGCTCGGTCGATCCGAACTACAGACCTGCGGATCCGTATCCGGGACGGGTTGAGCATTTCACGGGTGGACGCCAGGAGTCTGGGGCGCAGAAGCCGGAATTGGGGGTTGGAGAGATGGAAGGGATTACGTTCAAGGTTGAGCCGTTAAAGAGGAAGGGCGAGGATTCGGCGACGAGGAGGGCTAGGTTGTTGTGTATGCTCCCTTCCATCCGACCTTGTGATTGAAATTGAATGGGTATTGACGAGTGACTACAGATCAGAGCCGCAAACGTGGAATTCTTGAATCCGACCTCTTGCTTTCTACTTTTGCTGACGTCTATCTCCCCGAGATGACAGCCCAGCAACTTGAGGAGTACGATCGCTTCCTCGATGAAAATGATTGGGATATCTATTACTGGGCCACACAGGACCCACCTGCCGAGTCTGCAGCCACTGATGGCCAACTCGCGGAACAGCAGACGCATACCCAAGACACCGTGACGGAGACCTGGAAGCGTACGGGAGCCAAGAGCGGCGAGTGGGCGCAGACACATGGCGCCTTCAGGGCTGCGTATCGGCCTGTTCCGTCGCGATGGGCCGAGTCGGAGGTCTTGCGATTGCTCAGGCAGCATGTGAGAGATAAGAGTGCAAAAGGGTTTGAGTCTGCGAAGAACAAGAAGACTGCTGGTGGAGGTTTGGGAAGGATGCCGAATATCAAGGTGTTTTCTTGATCTACGAGTCTTTGCCAGAGATGCTCTTAAGAGGTAATCGGTACATTGGGAGCGCTTGTAAGACTGACATTCGATACTATTTATGTATGATTGTATAGTAGTTCTCCGTCATTAAATATTATTGTATTATTTATCGTTCAGCAGTACTCCGTACGTACTCAGTATTCATTGCTGTTGTTGTCGTACATTTAGGGTAATCTGTAGAATTTCACGTGACTCGCTTAGGCTAGGGCTACGTCCCCACAGGCGGTGGTTTAGGGCACAGGCGGGCACGCAGCTTGTCTGCTCGCCTCGTCGAAACTGCTGTGATTTTATCCCAGCCCCAGAGAGTCAACGACAATAGCTCCGCCCGCGTTCATCCTCCTCCTCTCACCTTTCGCGGTCCCTTCATCGTCTCCCAGACTCCGATCATGGCTGAGCAGCTGGTCCTTCGCGGCACCCTCGAGGGTCACAATGGCTGGGTTACTTCCCTGGCTACCTCTTTGGAGAAGTACGTCGAAACTGCAATTGCTGGAGGAAAGAAGAAAGAAAAGAGAAAATTTACGGGAAAATTTTGCGATGGAGAATACGTGGAAAATTTGGATATGGATTCTGACTTGAGATCTTTTGATTAGCCCCAACATGCTGCTCTCGGGCAGTCGCGACAAGTCCCTGATCATCTGGAACCTTACCCGCGACGAGCAGGCCTACGGTTACCCCAAGCGCAGCCTCCAGGGTCACTCTCACATCGTCTCTGACTGTGTACGATTCCCCATTCCACTGTATTCGAGCCGCGAGAGCGAAACGAGAATCAATCAAGGCAAAAAGCGAGAGAAAAAAGAAAAAAAGGCTGACGGACGATATAGGTGATCTCCTCTGACGGTGCCTACGCTCTTTCCTCCTCGTGGGACAAGTCCCTACGTCTCTGGGAGCTCGCCAGCGGTGCCACCACCCGCACTTTCGTCGGCCACAACAACGACGTCCTCTCCGTCTCTTTCTCCGCCGACAACCGCCAGATTGTCTCCGGTTCTCGTGACCGTTCTATCAAGCTCTGGAACACTCTGGGTGACTGCAAGTACACCATCACCGACAAGGGCCACACCGAGTGGGTTTCTTGCGTGCGCTTCAGCCCCAACCCCCAGAACCCCGTCATCGTCTCTGCTGGCTGGGACAAGCTTGTCAAGGTACGTTTCTACATCCTGTTTTCGATCTCAAAGAGTCCCAAAGATGCTTGCATATCTACGTATTTGCTACTTCAGAGCCTTTTGGCCATGAGACAAACATTCACCATAATGCCTGAGGGACTTTTTACATCATTACTTTTTTTTCTTCATGCGAAAAGTGCGAAAAAGATACTAATGACGTGAATAGGTTTGGGAGCTCGCTTCCTGCCGTCTCCAGACCGACCACATCGGTCACACCGGCTACATCAACACCGTCACCATCTCCCCCGACGGTTCTCTCTGCGCCTCCGGCGGCAAGGACGGTACCACCATGCTCTGGGACCTCAACGAGTCTAAGCACCTCTACTCTCTCCACGCCGGCGATGAGATCCACGCCCTCGTCTTCTCCCCCAACCGCTACTGGCTCTGCGCTGCCACCGCCACCAGCATCACCATCTTCGACCTCGAGAAGAAGAGCAAGGTCGACGAGCTCAAGCCCGAGTACATCGAGAAGGGCAAGAAGAGCCGTGAGCCTGAGTGTGTTTCCTTGGCCTGGAGCGCTGATGGCCAGACTCTGTTCGCTGGTTACACCGACAACAAGATCCGTGCTTGGGGTGTTATGTCGAGGGCATAGATGGGAGATGTGATGATGAATGGAAGCAATTAAAAAGTGTGTGGAGGGGACCTTTTTTCTTTTTAATCTGTTTATTTATTATCATGTCTCTATTTTGATATAAACAGAGCAACACTACAAGCAAAAATTCTCAAAAAAGAACTATAAAGACATGCGGGCTGGCATATATCGGAATGTATGAGCCATGATGGAATGACAGTAAACTATGCTCCTATCTTCGTACAGCACATGAGACATTCTTTTGAACAATTTAATCGTAAAAATTTTGTAACTTTTTTTTTACAGCATTCTGTATTTCACTGGTATAGTTTGCAATACCACCATTATACTTCGGAATCCGCTCAGCAACCCTCTGAAGTCCCTCAAACGCTGCAGAAAAGTCCTTGATATAACCCACGATCTGTTCAGGGGTATACTCGTTCAACAGGAAGGCTTTCCTTCAAATCGAATCAGACACTCCTTGCATATGTTGAAGAACTATTTTCGCAATTGGTTGTTGGTGAAGCGCCAGGCGTCACTGAGTATAAGTACTCATTCATAGATATATGATACCAACGCACAGGACTGGATAACTTTTAATGACCTCAAGTGTTGCCGAGATTAATAGCTGCCACTGTAGATCTAGGTGAGATCAACCTCGATTTGGATTATGGTGATCTCTGGAGAACACCGAGATCATTCAAGAGGCTCGTGTTCTTCATATTTTCGAACGAAGCCGTTTTAATCAGGTTAGTTGTATAAACCAGCTTCATAATGCGGTATAATCTGCATTGTACTCGTACAGCAACATATTATCCCGAAGCATAGGTTGCACACCAGACACATCATTCAAACCTATTAACAACGATATCCACAACATGCTTCATTGGCCATCTGTACCGGCGAATATCAGACCTGCAGCTAAGGACGAGCTGAATAATACCAACATCAAATTCGAGGATCCTTGCTAACAGTCGGGCCGTAAGGGCTCTTGCGAAGGAAGATACGGTTGCTACGGACAGAATCCATGTCACCTCTGCGCGAGTGCGAACTATTGTATCTTGTCGGTCATGTCTTGTGTCTTGCATCAGTATATGTAAACGTGTCTCGCGGAAAGTAGTGCAGATTGCCTCTTGTCCAATTTCAGGGAATTTAGGATTCTTTCCGAAAGACGTGCTTGGGTCTCCGAGGTTTTCTTCGAAATAGTCCATACATCCGTCGTGGCGGGTGTGTACGTGCGATTGTTAAATGCGATGATGGTTTACTCGTCCATGTCATTTTGCATAGTTGTCACTAAAGTTTTAAGAGTGCCTTCGACTTGCTGTAAGTATAGTTACATTGTTATTCAGAAGCACAGCAGTAAGATATTGAGGATATACAGAAAGTGTGCTGGGATGGGAGCTGTAAGCATTCGTTTTCGTTATTGGTCTGTCAGCGTTTGATGTTAGACTGGTGAGGTTTTCGGTTTTGGCTTGTACAGAATTAACAGTGAGCCTGGAGCTGGTAGCCACTGCCAGCGCCAGGGTGACAACAACAACGGATGAAAGATGCATTGCGATGGTTGAATGAGAAAAAAAGAAAGAGTCGCTGCTCCTGTCTTTGTTTTCAATGTGATGATGCACTATCCCTTATATAGTTTAGCTCAAAATGATTGTCCTCCAGTCACAGGGTTCTCAGCTCCTGGTGCTCGTTCAACATAAACCAAATGAAATTAGACTGGAATTTTTTTATGAACCGTACAGAATCATTGTAGACATATACCACAGTCCCAATTGCCTTCCATCGACAATAGACATGTATACCTAATTCCAATCACCCTCATTGACAATTGGTTCACGTCTGTCCGACGCCTCCATGAGCTCCTGAACAGTCCAAGATTTATATCTGTAGCCGGGAGGCATATTGGTGTTCTTGAACGGCATTTCCAAAGTAATATGGTTTGAGCAGCTGTTGTAGTTGTTGTAGACGTATTCCTCTGGGTCATGTCGCATGATCCAATCCGCAGTCGTCTTGCTGAGCACGTTCGGATTTCTGGCAACTTCATCCCAGTCTGTGTTGTGAAACTTCTCCCGGTGGTGGAAGCCCATTTTTTGAGCGCAGGATACGCGCTCGAACCTGCGATGCTTGATTAATGTGTTTCGTTTGGTTGTATGGCCATGTGTGTGTGTGCTTACCGTAGGTGGTTATGAACCCTCACAGCTAATGAGATATCAGACTTCCCACCCAATTGCAAGCACGTTACCAGAGGATATGCATCCTCCATGGCCATTGCTGCCCCGCTCCCCGAGTTCAGCAAGAAGGAATGTGCAGCGTCGCCAAGTTGGACAACTCGGGCGCCAGAAATCCACTTCGGTTAAGGATTACGCCAGGGCAATTTTCAGTCAGTGCAGCGGTTGTTCGGAGTTACTTTGACGAGCTCAACCAAGAACGCATCCCAGCCCTTCGTGTACTGCAAGGCTTTGTTCGTAGATACAGTTTTGTCCCAGTTTTCTTCTGCATTGTGATCGTCCTGTGTTTTCGAATTGGTTAAACTTCACACAGCGTGAGTGTGCATTTTATAGTAAAGAAACATACCCGGTGTGTCAATATATAACACATCAGTCGTTCAGTTTTTTTTTTTTTCCCATGGCTATATGCGCACCAGGGCCTATGTGTATCGACGCACGATCAGGCTGGTTTTCTAACTCCTTTGCAATGACTGGGTTCTTCAAAGCTTCATCAGCTGGAAAGAGTGACGCCTGCCTTGTCGTTCGTCTCAAAATAGTCATCCACAGCGGCTGAGAAGTCTGCCCGAATGCCTAGTACCTAAATATATTCCCACAGCAGAGTATGGAGCTCCGAGCTGTTGAAGGGCAAGGATGCATCCTGACCATCACCTAACGGCAAACTTCCAATCCAGGCTCCGTCATATTTTCACGTTTCGCTGGGTTTTGTAGAGATTGCTTCCAGTCGTTCGTAGAAGCCGGGCCACTTCTTGACTGTGTGTAGGGCATTGCATTCCAATAATAGAAGGTCGCCTTCAAGAAATTAGTATTGCAGTATTAGGTTCACATTGCATTTCAACCGACTGTACCCGCTGAAGTTGAGACGCTTTTCTTATACGCGAACATCATGGCCTTTCCGATGCGCCTCAATCGCGAACGTGAGATTCCCAATGCCTCCACTAACAACCAGAATGGAAACCCCACTGAGGAAAAAGCGCTCCATGGTAGAAATTGTAATGTTATTGGATGTAATAATGCATGGTGAATAAAGCCACTCTTGTAGCATTTCATATCAATTGCATAGCTCCGCAGTTTCTTGGGGATTTCAGGGTTTTTATACCCCGTACAGTATCTCCGATCTAAGACCCACGCGGAATACGAAATAACATGGGAATTCGGGTGGACTATGGGCTGACTGCCTCCAATTTTCTTCTTATCGGGTTTGTAAATCTCTCAGGAGTTCCGGGCAATGTCATCCCTATGTTATATGCACTTATGCGCTTCCCTTCAATCCATACTGACGGCCTTATATCGGAGGCTCTCACCGGAAATTACAGCTTTCCCACTCGGAGCACTCATCAGTTCGTCAAGGCGGTAGATTCCAAATAAAGCCCAAGTCCAAATATCCTGAATCCAAATCCGTAGGTACACTGTCCCACGATCCAAATGGTGCCATCAGTGGATCCAATGGAAGTGACAGCCAGTCCCCGGGGTGATAGATTTGGTTGGCCCAGTCGATCATGCTTGGATCCCAGGGAGTTTCTTCGTTAGACGGTTGACCTATTCTGTCAGTATCAGGGGCATCCTCTTGACTAGGTTCATCCTGGTTTCCCAACCGGCCCGATTTGGTGAATGTCTGCCGCAATCGAGAAACATGGATGTGCAGTAGGGATGCGTATTGCGAGACAAGATGGATGTCATCTTGTTGATTAGATTGTAGGGTAACAATAGCCTGGTCGAGCAGATGTAATGACTCTTGCAGTTTCGATGTTCGCACTCCCAAAGAGAGAGCCTTGAGGAGGAAGACGGACGAGCTGACCATACGTAGAAAGATTCGAATGGGAAAGTATCGAAGTGACTTTCTCTGGGAGAGTGACACGATGCGCGAAAGTATAGCACAGGTGCCATCAATCACTTCTTCGATGAAGTCGTACTCATTCCTGCTGATGTTGATTTGGCGTGCTCGTGAAATGAATGTCTCGTCGATAGTCTTTTGTGGTATAGTGTCTGATAACACTCGTTCAACGATTCCCTGTACCCCAAGGGAGTTGGTAAATACCCTCAGGTATTCGTACTCTATGTGTAAAATATCATCATAGTGGAAGTCTGAGACAATGTTAGTCTACCTGCCGTTTGATCTCATGTACAGAAGTACAGAACTCACTCCCTGTTTGTCGATGATTTCCATTCCACGTAGCAAGCTGTTCCTTGAACTGTTCCAACGATCCAAAATCAATGCCTTGATGATCGTTATTTCTGGCTTCCAAAAGGAACTTTTCCCCAATGATTTGGACGAAACTAGTCAAGTATACCCATGAGGCCATAAAGGTTGTCCATTGCGGATCGACCAACAAAATATTATCTAGTTTTCTTGGCTTATATTTTTCAGACATGATGGGTGGGCAACCAATTCGAGAGGCCAATAGGCTCGAAGCAACAAATAACAGCGATGGAAGACGTTGGCGTCTGAATTCCAGGTGCTTCATATATGTTCTCACATCTGGGCCATCGGAGAAACTAGGCTGTTCTCTCGAATCAAACACTCCAAGCTCGTGCGCAAGGGCCAGTGCAGAGCTCACAAGCATCCACGACATCCGATCTGATCGTCGCGTCGGCTCTATGACATCCTGCTCCCAACGTTCTTGTATCGGCATCTCTTCCGTGATAGCAGGTGGATCTCGATCATTAGGTGTGGTATACATCAAGTCCGAATCCCACCCATCAGTTTCCGGAGGAAAATGTAAAGCTCGAGGATACCACTCTGTAAGGAGGAGGAGCGCCTCGATTGTCCCAAGATGTCTTGTCTTCGCTTTGGAGACTTTCTCTTGTCCTAGGGTAATCCGTAATATGAGATGCTGGCAATGCTGCCACAACCTGTGGTGGATGATGAATCCTCTGGATGTTCCAAAGGGCCCTGGAACAATATGGTATCGCGCAGAGATCATCAAGATGGTGCAGCACAGCATTGGTTCCTGGGTGATCAGCCAATAGTGAGTGTTATGAGAAGCAAAGAAATCCGTCAAAATGGGAGATGCTGGAGCCATATTCTTGAAGAATCTATTAGTGGTCAGAATTGCTCACATGAAAAAAGTAGGCGTGTCCGACTAACGTGTCCATTAGGAAGACTGCTTCGTGCGCAGCGAGCCACCCGCCCTTGACAAAGCGGCAACGCTCCCAGATTTTTAGGACACCATCTTCCTTAACTTGGGGCGCTGTGTCCGTTGTGGGGGTTGTAGGTAACTCTTTTTGTTGAAGTGCTGCATCGAACAGAATATCCAACGCATCGTGGCCGCTGGTAACCTTCTTCTGCAGGACCGTGGTGGAAATCCCATCTATAGGTTCTTTTTCCGAATACAAATGCTCTCCTTCACTAGTCTCAGATAGCGGCAGCCAGCTTATGCATGTGTCTTCCTGGCCCTGTTCTGATGATATCCGAGCAGTAGTACGTGAATTCTTGATCGACTCTGATCTCCGTTAGTTGGACGTACTGTTGCAAAATGGACCGCCCTCATACCTGTTTTCCTCCTTGACCAGGGCTGCTTGATGGTAAAACGGCATTCAATATCCAACTTCCCGCATCTTTTGCACGGCTGCTGATGACGCGCTGGATCTGACTCGCATCTGACTTTTCTCTGGCGGCAGGGAATACATGCCTTGTATGCCCGTTGATAGTTGTACTCGGGGGCTGCTCTGCTTCGAGAAGGGCGGGGCATTTCCTCTTAGACTTCGTCGTAAAGGTTGATGAATAGTTGAGGAAGAATATGGGAGATGCTGGAATAGCCGAAGAGAGGTGATCCTCTGTCACACGCTTACCCGAATTGGCAAGGGTTCTGCGTCTCCACAGTGTGGGGAACGGTGGAACAAATCTTATTGACATCAACCACGTCCAACTTACGAAGTATGTACGAATGAAAATAGTAAGGTTATAATTCAGCGTGTCATTTCGGAGCTAACTACACTCAAGTCAAATAACGGAACTGAGGATTCTTATCTCCATCTCTCGTCACATCGACATGAACGTCTCTGGACATTGTACCATACAGCCTATCCCGTTTCTTATTCTCAATTGTCAGTCTTACATACAATCCCAGTGCCATTATCGCAATGCATCCTGTCAAGCCGCATCCAATGGCACAACCTCGGATATAAATTGGGCTGTGGTCAGAAAGCAAAGATTAGCTGGGTTCTTTTCCATAAAAAGAAATCGACGAAAAACCCACCCTTCGGAGTTGGGGAACACAGCAGAGCTCACGAAGCTCGAACATTGCCCAAACACAGCAAGCAGTGCCATCCCGGCAGATTTCTTGGAATCCCCGCCTTGGTTATTTAACAACCAGGTTATATTGATACTCAGGGCTGGGAAGACTCCGCATGTAGCCAACCAAACACCCAAATACCGCACCCCAGTCTTGTATTCATCCTGCACAGCTGCCAAAATCAGGTAGCCAATCATCCCGATAGTCGCAGAAAATGCGATCACAAGCCCTCTTCCTCCCCACCGGTCTGAGACAACCGCTGCCACGATGCAGAGCAAGAATGATGCGAAATACGGGGGAGCAGAAAGACCTTGTGCATTGACTGATGTATACCCCATGTCGTTGAGGATAGTAGGGAGGAAGTTTGACAGTCCCGCGAAGGAGAAGTTGCAGCAAAAGTGGATTGCTGTGTGGACATAGTTCTTGTAATCTGTCAGTCCGTTGAAGACTTGTCTCCGGTCGAGTCGGGTTTTTGCAGTGCGGTCCACTGTCTGCAGTCTCTCAACGGCGTGAGTTCGCTCTGTTTCATTCAGAAATTTTGCCGTGCCTGGAGAGTCTGGGAGAAAGAAGAAGACTACAATAGAGAAGATAACGGTGGGAGCACCCTCTGCTTGTGTAAGCTACGGTAAATGAGGTAACGAGGCACCAGTAACTCACCAATAATGAATAGATATCGCCACGGGGCGATTGAATGTTTGATCTGTGTTATTCCGTAGGCTAACGCACTGGCAAAGCAATTGGCCACGGGAGACATCCCCAGCAGCAATGAGACCCTAAATCCAAGTTCATATCGTTGATAGAACAGCGACAAGAAGTATGGAGCTCCGGCCCCGAATGCGGCCTCGAAAACGCCCAGAAGACATCGACAGACGATCAACTCGGCCATGTTGTCCACTGCACCGGTACACATAGCCGCCGCACCCCAGCTAAACAATCTCTCAGCTCTCGTATAGGAAATATGAAATGGCCTACATACCAGATACATAATACAGTCACGTAGATATGGGCAGGGAGGAGCTTCCACAGGACTGTGGTCCATTCGAAGACGACGTAGCAGATGTAAAACGAGTTGAGGACCCAGGTCCATTGCGAGTCACTGAGCCCCAGGTCACTTTCGAGGCCGGCGGTTTTGGCATTTCCCACATTTCCTGTTCTTTTTTCAGCAAAGGTGAAGAGGAAGGAGGTCAAAACGGATGCGCACCCCTATCCAGATAGGAAAGGATATAGAGGATACAAACGATAGGCAATACACGACGGTCGAACTGAGCATGTTAGTTGCTGTGAGGATGCTCAGTCAATAGGGGAAGACTGTACCCTCCTTCGGATTTGAGCCTGCTCGGAAACCGAAACTTGAATACGCTGGATAGCAGTCTTCTCCGCTTCTATGGACTCAGTATTCTCCACATGCTGTGACTCTGTATCCTTGATGGTGTTCATGGTGGCGTGATTCTTGTGTCCTAGAGAGCCATTGTATGTCAACGACTGGGGCTTTAATATACCCGTCTTCCAATCCCCGCAGAAATACAGTGACACCGTGATTCACTTGTGACTCCCCTATGTTGTTGAACTAAAGCCAGAATATGCTTCATCTTCCCCGCCTTTCTACCCCATGGGGTATTGGTTGATGGTTCTTTTCGTCACGGCTACTTGACAATATCCGCGCGGGATATTGCAAAATCCCAATAGACATGGTGCGATTAGACGTTCTTTTCGTTTCTGATTAAATGTGTTACATCAGTTAAATGAGGGGGATAATCCAGACACTTATTTACACTTCTATTGAGCTATTTTGGGCCCATCCCGTGGATACTCGTAAGCTTGTTGCCGCTCAACGCGGAAATTGCCAAATACCCGCTTGCGCGATATGCAAAACATCCGCGCAAAGAAAAAACTTGACAGTTATTTAAACAGGATAATCTCCCAGATACACTGTTTGCTTCTAACTACAAAACGTGCCTCCATTCAGCAATCCAAATATCCCAAAATGAGCGTCCCCTATCCCTTCAGATTCACTACTCCCGACCAACCAACCTCCAATGGAAACGGTACCACGACCTCCCTACCCATCCAACTCGAGAATGTACGCGGCCGAATTCCTTCCGCACAGACATCTCGCCTCCGAACCATGATGCTAGAAGCGCACAACGACCCCAACAAGATCATCGCCCATGCCTGCAGCTACGATGGACTTTCCTCTCGCCTGGTGGAAGAAGCAGGCTTCCCCATTGTGTTTCTAGCAGGGTATGCTGTAGCCAGTGCCTTTGGACTACCAGACACTGGCTACATTGCTATGGAGGATCTGTGTCGGAAGATCCAGGAGGTTGTGCGTGTGACGAGCGTGCCTGTCATGGCGGATGGAGATACGGGGTATGGAAGTCCTATGAATGTTAAGCGGACGGTAGAGTCGTTTGCGATTGCTGGAGCGGCTGGTGTAATGATTGAGGATCAGACATGGCCGAAGCGTAGGCTTTCTCCCTTTCTTGCTCTTTCGCATGGATGCTAACTAGTGTAGGATGTGGCCATACAAAGGGTAAATCCGTCGTTTCCCGCGGCGAAGCCTACGCACGAATCCAAGCCGCATGTGACGCCCGCAACGAAGGCCAAGACATCTTCATCCTCGCACGAACCGATGCCCTCATCCACGGCTGGGAGGAAGCAATGACCCGGGTCAATGAGTTCAAGCGTATTGGGGTGGACGCTATCTTTGTCGAAGCTCTACCAGACCGGGATGCGATGAAACGATGCGCTGAGGAGGTTGGCATTCCCATCTTCGGGAACATCATTGAGGGTGGGAAGACGGAGAACCTGTCTGCGTTGGACCTTGCCCAGCTGGGGTATTCTGCCGTTGCGTATCCGTGGACGTTGGTTGCAGCGAAGCTGAGAAGTATCCAGGAGACATTGGAGGGTTTGAAGAAGAGTATGACTGCGGGTGCACCACCGATGATTCTGGGATATTCGGAGGTTTGCGAGGGTGTGGGGTTCAATGAATACTGGGTAGGTCCGGCTGTTTCCTGCAGGACTTAACTTCTTTGCTGATTGCGTTTAGGATCGGGAGATGCGGTATGAATACAATCAGGACGGCCTGGTAAACCTAAATGAGTGATTTGGTTATTAAACCCAGGGCTGAGCTGAACCATGCAATGTTCTATGCTCCATAGAATGAAATATTATGATGTGTCACAGACCCTTGGCCTTCATTGCTTGGATAATCCTGAATAGAATATGACAGCTCTGTCCAAAAAGATGATGGTCTTTATGTTCGGAATCCAGTACGGAATAGTGTACTCTGTTGTAGTATTAACTTCGGTTTTTTGTCAACTGACAGTAGTGCTGTACTTTGGAGTGTCTGTGCACTATCTTCTCAGCTAGTTTACATTGCTTGAACCATCGCAATTATTGCTCTACAGTTCAGCTCCGGCTAGAGTATGGAGTTCATTTAGTAGTCGGGCACCTTCGTCGGTGTGACTTCAGAAGAGCTGGATCGTAGAATGACGATCCTTGTAGAAGTGGTAAGCTGTACCAAATACTGAACTTGGGGAATTATAAGCCCGTTTTTCATGTGATTATGCATGCCAGAAACATATCCTCTGTAAAGCTTGCAGTTTACATATATTTTACATTTGAATTCCTATTGTACATACAAGGAATCACAATGAAAGGATCCGAGGCTCATTTCTTTGTCAATCGCTTCAAAGCACTATCAGTCATGGCAACCGCATCTTCAAACCCCAGTCCCACAGCCAGTGATTTAGCCTCCCGATAACGCTTAACAGCTTCTTCACGCTTTCCCTGCATCTCCGCCAGCTCGCCTAGGTTATATGTTGCCGCCACGCAACTGAGGTCACAGTCCTCATCACGAACAGGAGGTTGAATGCGGGCTGCGACATCAATCGCCTTTTGCGCCCACTTTTTGGCGGCATCGATGGTTTGTTCGCGGGGAACAGGTTGCTGCTGCTGCTGCTGCTGCTGCTGCTGTTGTTGTTGGCGGACTGGTCTTTGCACCTGTCCGGCCATCACTGTAGCGACACCATTGAGAAGTGTGACCTGTTTGCAGGTTGGGGAATTACCTTCGTCCACACGAAGGAGATCCAGTGCGCGCAAGTAAAGTGGCATGGCGAGCTCGTACTTCTCTTGAGTGACATAGGTGGATGCCAGATCAGCCAGTGCGGTGGCAATCTCAGTGAGGTTCAACCAAGCGCCACCGTTCTCAATCTGCGATGAACCACCAACAGGGAGGCCAAGGGCTTGACGACGGTGCATTTCTTTCAATGATAATTCAACGGCCGCGACCTGCGCCTGTTCAGCCTTCTTCTCATCTTGAATGTAGTCGCTTGAATAGAGCTCTGCAAGTTTCATCTGTATTCCCACAGCCTTCTTAAGCGTTTTGTCCTGCTGGCGATCTTCAAACTGCTCTAGTTCTTTTATCCTCTTCTGCTCCTCGAGAAATTCCGGATCATCGATCACAACCTTGTTCTCTTCCGCCTTCTTCTGCTTAGGCTCAATAGCCGCCTCCTTGGTCTGAATTATCTTCTTCTTCCGCATATCATCTACCCAACTCAGCGCCTCGGCCTTCGTCCTCTCCAACACATCAATCGCCGGCTTCACCAACCCCGCCTTCTCCAACATCATCGCCACCTGCAACTTAATCCCAATAACCTCATCCGAGAACGGATGTAACCCCATCTCGATGGCAATATGCAACGCCTCCTTGTACGCCTTCAATGCCTTGGGCGGGTTAAGGTCCACTTCGGTGTAGTATACGGCCGTCCGGAGCGTCTCAGCCACGGGCGGTGGGAACTTGTGATATTGGGGGCCCACGCGGGTGATTTCAATATAGGCAATATATGCAAATAACAGCCCAGCACCGATTGTGGATACAAGGGCGATTGGGAGAAGAATGGGGTTCTTGCGCCAGATTCCCTTGGAAGCTTCCCGGAAGCCATATCTCATTCGTTGTGCGAAGCTGAGGTGGCGGATTTGAAAGAGGGCATTTCGAGAGACGAGAGGGTTTGAAATTCTGTTATTTGTGCGAATGGACGTAGGGCGAGTGGTGTTGCTTGATATCGATCGTGATGATGATTGAGGAGTGTGCTGTGCGGCTTTTTGTGCTGAGGCGCAGGCGCAGGCGCGCCGCGATGCTGCTCTGAACATGGTGTATGTTAAATGGTGCTCGATCTATACGGTCTCAGAGGATTAGTTGAATAAATAATCTGAAAGAAAGCGGCAATGTAGCTTGCGAGAGAATGTATGAAGTTGGATTTGGAGAACTTTCTGCCGCTTCTGGAAGAATGGCTGCGGGTGGTCCAAGCTCCCGCCTTTGCTATGACGTCGAAGTCATAACCGGACAACGATTAACAGCAGAATACCTGCGATTACGCCAGAAGAATTGACAATGATTTGTGCATAACAATATCATCAGAGTTTGATTCATAATCTGGTCGCAAAATGTGTGGGCGATATTCTCTGGGAGTTGTAGGTATGCCGTCCATTCTGCACCGCGTTCGCGCTGACTGGTATAGCGCATGGCTTTCGTTCGACGGCGCCTCGAGCAACAAGGCATGCAAGTCAATGACGCCCCAGGTGATGACGAAGTACGCGAGACATACAACTTTGCGCCTGGATACAATGGTGCAGTCTATCGCGCCGAATCTAGGGAGAGAAACCATGGAGCTACGAGAGAAAACGAAGGCGATGAAACAGCCACGGGGGAAGCCCAAGAAGAAATACAGGAGCAAGACAACGAAGATAATACCCAGTATTGTGGTCTTGGGAATGAGAGCGCAACTAAATACAAGCTGCAAAGCATGAGATGGGGTCTTATCCCTTTCTGGACAAAACGCAAGCCCGACTATGGTTCTCTTATGCGGACAATTAATTGCCGAGATGATTCTCTAACTGAAGATCGTGGGATGTGGACGTCAATGAAGCGGAAGAAGCGATGTATTGTGGTCTGCCAGGGATTCTATGAGTGGTTGAAAAAGGGTCCCGGGGGAAAGGAAAAGGTCCCGCACTTCGTCAAGCGCAAAGACAGCGAGTTGATGTGCTTCGCTGGACTCTGGGACTGTGTCCGCTATGAAGGTAACTGAATGATTTTCTTGCGATGCTAACTTACATTTGCCATTAGTGGACTAACGCGAGGTTATGCATAGACTCTAACGAGGAGCTTTATACCTACACCATCATCACAACAAGTTCAAACCCCTACTTGAAGTTCCTTCATGACAGAATGCCAGTGGTTCTCGACCAGGGAAGCGAAAAAATGAAAATATGGCTAGATCCCACCCGGACCACATGGTCGAAGGACCTTCGGTCTGTTCTCAAGCCTTATGAAGGCGAACTAGAGTGCTACCCAGTTTCGAAGGAAGTCGGGAAGGTCGGAAATAACTCGCCCGACTTTTTAATCCCGGTCAACAGCGAGGAGAATAAGAGCAATATCGCGAACTTTTTTGCTAATGCAAAACAAAAGAAGGGCGATAAACCTGTCAATATAGAGGACGAAAAGACAGATATGTCGGAGCAGAAAGTCTCAGAGGATTGCGATGAGAATCGGACAACACAGAACAATGAATGGAGCGAGGACAACGCTCCTCTGCCAGTACCTGGTGTCAAGAGAGAGCATCCACCCGATAGTCTTGGCGAGATCAGAGAGACAGAACGGAAGAGACAGAAGACCGAATCTGTTCCACCCTCGAAGCAATCCGACCCCAGACTAGTGAAGAAGGCGGATGAAAAAAAGACAACTGAGGGCTCCCAGCGGATTACCAACTTTTTCCGAAAACGATCTACACATTTTGCTTTGAACTAAGAATATGGAATGGCGTTTGGAATAGGGTGCAATTAGCGTTTCTATAAGCGTTTCGTCTGATTTTACCGCTAACATGATTTTCGAGGCAATAATATACGAGCTGTCTAGCAGCTTATGGGATGGTTCACCAAGAGTATAGTACAAAATATTCGTATCGTTACAAATATGTCACAGAATCTCTCTATTGAGATTCGATTTCATGTAGTCTCTGGACCAACTTTTCCCTGAGGAATGGGCTCGGTGCGATGCTGAGTTTCATGTTAGTATGCTCAGATAGAACAATTTCAAGGAAAGCACTTACATTCCATCTCGAGTGATGGTTCGATAAGTACCTGTCAAAAGTCAGCCAAGGTCAATGCATTGCCGTCGTGTTGCCAATAAATACCACTCGGTTGGTAATTTCCATTTCCATCAACGAATTTACCTTCACCGTCGACTTCAAGGCTTCCAAAAATATCCTCGGGCCTGTCGATCCGTCAGCCACAATTCTCGCAATCTGCCCAATCATCTCTTTACCAAGGAATCCGCCCATACTCAGGCGGCCTCCTCTCATCAAAAACATGTATCCATCCTCCTCGTCCAGCACTACCAGCACCACCTTGACCACTGGCCCCACCACTCGAATCTGCGCTAGCCCGCCGTCTCCGCGCTTTCTGACCAGTCAATAGGACTCCTCCGGAGCTCAGGTTAGCTCCAGACGTGGAGACCATCATCTGGGCCTGTGAGATATTATCTGGGTCTTCATGCGCATATTTTGAAATAACTTCCTGCAGGATATTCAAGAAACTCGGGTTCTCTTTGAAGGATTCTGGCGTCGGTGGTAATTTGGATGTAATTCCGATGGGTACGCTGGGGTTCGTCGGTCTTGACGGTAGGAGGGATAAAACATGGCTTTCGCCAGAGGCTGCTTCATTCGGGAAAACATACTACATGTTCATAGAACAGTCTTAAGTAGGTAGACAGGGAAAATAAGCAACGAGGACTTACTATGTACGGACGGCCGTCCAACGTGGTCACGGAGCGAATTTGTGTCCATTTGGGAAGCCTGAGTACTTGGCGTGCAATTGGTCTTAATGTAAACATCTTGTATATCCAGGTGTATGGACGAATTCGGCAACACCGAATCAGAAAGCAGTCAATTCTAAGAAGCCGAAGCGTTGAAGTCGTCTATGACGATGTAGAGAACAAACATGACAAACGCACGTGACCATGTGGAGTTGTCCATGTGCATAATGCCCTAATAATGCATGTTGCACACACCGCGCAGCGCAAAATTCGTGGGCATCTGCCCACGATCTGCCCGCCTACTATCGAGTACGATACATATCTATCAGCAATCCTACTTCCGATGTCAACATGGAGGGAGCTCCAGGAGCCCATAAGCCCCTGACCGCTTCCCCCTGGGTGCCCACCACCCCGAAGCGACCGAGACCAGACACCGAAGAATTCTTCATGACCCCTTCCATTCTCGAGAACTGGCAATTGCCAGGGCATCCCGACCAAAGGATTTCCCTGCATCGCTCATCCATGTGTCCTCCCAGAGCCAATTTAGCCTGGGACTCCAAAGCCACATTGCAGCTGCGGTGGCATCGCGCAAGGCAGAGATAAAGACTACAGGAGATAAAGTCCTAGAGTTGGTCTCACTGGCCAGCCAGAAAGTCACCAACTGGGAAGGGAAAGGCCTACTGTCACGGAGCTCAGCTAGGGTAGAGGGCCATCCTTCTCATGGGTTCTAGCTAGGTAGCTATCGAAGAGAGACACTCTTATACATTTCTCTCCCATCCCCTACACCCCACTCCCAATCCCCAAATTGATGGCCTTGATATTAGCCATAGATGGTGATCTTGATTATAATTCGAGGGTACGTCCGGCAGTCCTCGCTGGTAGAGGTACTGTCAAAGCAATCGGGGAATGTAGCTACCTTCACCTTGGTTTATTAGACTACTATAGTGCATAGCGGGTAAACTTTTCCCAATTACTTATTACATACATACAACCATAGATATCCGCTGGAATACAATACAACACAACGGTTCAATAACTAACCTTCCATATATCAATTATATATATACCGACCGACAGTCACTGTGGACAATCACGACCGACTCCCCCCATCGATCTCATGCACCTCAGGCGGCTTCACCGCACTATCCAGCTCCGGTATCGTCTCCGGCTTCTGCGCACCAAACATACCCAATCCCTGATTATGGCTTGACGATTGCTGGTGGTGAGGATTCTGATCACTCCCTGTATTTGAGTACAGCTCAAAAATTGGTCGTCCGCTTTCTGATGGGAGCGGTGGTGAGAGCGAGGGGAGACTGAGTCCTGTGGAGCCGGACGGGTATTTCCCGCCGACTGTTGTTCCCGGGCTGGAGAAGGAGTCTAGCACATGATATAAGTTAGCTTTCTCTAATAGGTACTCGTGGAGGTAAAGGGAGAAGGGAAGGAAACGAACCCTGATAAGGTGACGCCGGATTTTGATCCCCATATTCCCCTGGATGCATCCTCTGCGGCTCGCCCTCTGCAACCGACGGTGCCCCCCCAGCCGGAACCTGGCTCTTCTTCCTACGCCGTAAAAGGAACCAAGCCGCTAATAGCACGATCGCTACAGCTGCAACACACCCAACGACTATCCCCGCGATCGCTCCACCCGATAACCCTCCTCCACTCCCACTCCCATCATCCGCATCCTCAAACAACTCCAACTGATCCCTGCGCGACTGACTCCAGGCAGAGGCAAGGACATCACCGGCCGGACACCCATCCATCCTATTGCAAGCGTCTGAAGCGCAGCATCCTAGAAATGGAGGTGATGTGAGGTTGCATGTGTACCAGTTGTTATTAGCGGAGTTGATGCAGGCATTTGGGAGGATAGAGTTGAAAATAGAGGTATCGAAGGCAGCGGCATAGACATCTGGACAGGGCGATGTGATATTGCTGTCTGTGCAGGGGTCGGACGAACAGCAGCCGATGAAGTAGGGCTCATCCGGGCACACGTACCAGGTTCCGCCCGAGGGGCAGGTGAAGTGGCAAGAGGTGGAGCCGGAGAAGCAGTCTTCGTCGGAGGACATTATAAATGTGCGTATAATAATGGAGGCTGAAAGTTGCGGGAACGCAACTGGGGACTCGCATTTCAAGGGGAATCCAGAAATCTAGACAGGACCCCGACTATGGGGACGACCGTTGGCCAAACATAAATAGGGTCCGAGTTCGCTGGCGACAAGACAAGGCTGAGGGCTGTGAGCTAGTGACGGCGTCTTGGCTGCAGCAATACTTATCGCACAGCCACGCTGCTTACTACTAAATCAAGTCCGACCATGCCTGAGAGTCTGGTCGCAGTACAAACTCTATCTGGGTCTTGTCATCAACTTTTTTCACTCCTTTAATGGCTGGAGTGCGAGTAATACAGTAGTTCACTATCTGGGTAATATATGGAGGATGGTATATATAACATGGATGAAACAGGTCTATTCTGGCGTCTATCTCCATCCAGAGGCCTTTATACACAGGCTAGAACAGGTGTACGAAAAGACAAATCACGAATCTCAATAAAATGCTGTATCAATGCATCTGGCACTGATCGCTTACCAATATGGTTTATTGGTGAATACCAAACACCACGGGCTCTTCGAAACATCAATATCCAGGTGATGGGAGGCCAGTGGCGCTGGAACAGAAAAGCTTGGATAGATATAATAATCATGAAAGAATAGTTATTGTTCTTTTATAGCCATATCGGGCCTCGGGCAGTTCTTCTTGCCATGGATAATTTACCTGCTCAATTACCTGACCTTCTCCACCAAATGTCCTGATTCAATGGCTTCCATCAAACTCAACAAGCAGATTCCAACCCCTTGATCGAGGAATTATCCAGAACCTCAAGGTTTATTACCGAAAAAAATGGCTTCGCTATATGCTCAATGTGTATGAGAACTTCATAAACCTAGTGGATACTGTCACCATTCTGGATACTATCCGTTGGGTTCTCCGTGCATAGGATAATGAAGTCCTACCTACAACAGTCAACAATTGCTTTCGGAAAAGTACATTTGCGCCTGAGCCTGTACAACTTCCTATTGAATCACCAGACATGACGGCTCTATTCGCTCAAGTACAACATAATCAACATGCTGAGGCATTAGAGGATGCTATGGCTATTTCAAATTTCTCAATCCTACTAAGGAGTCAGAGACAGAAAAGGCCAAGCTAAATGGAGATGATCTGCTTCACCAGTTGACTGCCAGCCACACAGTTACCAATTAAAACTGAGAAGGAAGATGAAAAGAATGGGGCTCTGCCTCTTATTCCAAAGGTTCCAGAAATATTATAAGCTGTAAGACTTTTGATACCCTACACTAAAAGCCAGGTTGATTCAGAAACTTCTACTCTTCGCCTTTAGAGCGATATGAGAGACTTAGAGTGGAAGGAGAGCTCTCTTACTACCCAGCGCACCTTAGATGGATGGCCTAGTCATTGATAGTTGCTTAGTTAATTATTCAATATGACGACATTTGTGTTAATACGATAGTAAGCCGTTGGATAGATTACATCGTCTTAATGAATTTTGACTGTAACCACAATTCATTTCTACACCCCATACCATAATTATCAGTGCTACTTTGATCAAGTTTCATGCAATGACCTTGATTGCGTATACAGTTTGCTGTACCCGGCTACGTGTTCATGCATATATGGTGACAGCTGACAACTGATATGCCAAGATGGTCTCTAGTAGACCTCGGCAGGCCCATGGGCTACCCATAATGGGTACTCATTTGACCCAAAAACTAAACAAAATAGAAACACCCGTGACTTGCATAACTTATATGATTTTGCTATTAATATTTAACTAACCTATTATGCTGAATCAACAAATAATACATCCTAATTAGGAAAGCTATGCATGCATGGGTATTCGATGGGTTACTCATGGGTAGTATGTTAGGGGCTAAGCCAGCAGCGCTAATAACTGGCTATCATACAAGAGGTTTCGTTGAAGAAGAGAAGGACGAGTGTCCGATCAGACAGCCTTTTATATACAAAAGTACGTTATGCGGGGTAGGTAGTCAAGTAACCACTCCGATCATTCCTCCGACTAGCATATTGTTTACTCTACAGGCGCAGCCTGTGACATAGTGGGTTCACTCCCATGGGCGGGAAATGGGTACTACATTGGTACCCATGGGCCTATTGGTATTGGTAATGGGCAGAGACCCCTATGCATTGGGTACCCATACCGAGGTCTAGTCCCTAGGCTGACCGTGGGATGGGAATTCAGGATACCTGGGGGGGTCTTATCCCGTCCCACGGGATAAGAAGACTTTATGGGATGGGATTCCCATTTTATGGGAGAAAAATGAGATGGGATAATAATGGGATGGGATAAGGATGGGATTATCTCATTCCCTAAAAACTATATATCTTCGTCCCTATCCCGTTCCATCTTAGGGATGGGAGAATCTCATCTCGCAAGGTCATACTAGAATGAAATTGACGATTTCCTTTTATGTCACTTGTCAAAGGAAATCTATAGTGATAATCTGAAAATCATCGTACGGTAGTCCTGACAATCATTATAAACTAAAGCCAGAAATGACTCTAAAAAAAGAAGCGATATAACAAGCACAAAGAGATAGAATCATGATCAGTGACGTTGGTGCCTTTCTGCGTCTTTTCTGCTGGTGGTTAATCATCAACATCCTCTTCCGACATAGTTTGGTCAAAATGGAGTGATGCAGCAAGTGTATTCCCATCAAATGTTGCTTCCCTCGCAATACTCGTCTCATTCTTTTGTTGTATCGCCTCATCTTCCCATTCAGCTAACTGGTAACCATCAAGGAAACTGGGATCTATCAAGTCCTTATCACCATGTTTGAGAATCATGACCTTGCGGATAGTTTCGCCTTGGAGCTTTCCACATCGATATGTGCAGGTGTCACGGCTAATTGTGGATTAACATTTGTCACGGCGCTCTACTAGGATAATCGAAGATCCAACTCATGGGTTCTACCTAGGTAGCTATCGACGAGAATAATCAACATGAGGAAGGAAGAAAGGGGGTGACGCCGTATTTATCAACAAAGCAAACAACTGCATCTCACGTGATAACCAGCCAACGTGACCAGGCTGTCACATTACCCCCCGGCTTCAATAGACATTGTCCTCAATGTCATGGTAAGCCACAGGTAAGAAACATGAGAGGAGAGAAAAATACATGAGATACTTGAAAAGAAAACATATGAACATATCCAACATCTCCAGGGATCAATCATCAGTCGCTGCTACCATTCCTCTCTAAACTCGCAAGCATCTGCTGATTCCATAACTTATCAGATTCCTTGTGTGCTTTCATGGAACAGTTCTTCACCCAATGGTCAGGGGAGCCGCATCTCACACAGGATCCTTGTTGTCGACGTCTGTTCCTTTCATCCAGGGAGGTGGACGATGCTGACAGAGAGTTGATATTGACAACACTGAGATCCATAGGATCAGACTTGGTGTGAGAGCCAGATTGGTGTGAATTAGAATGGGAAACATTGGTTGGATTTGAGCTGAATGAATGACTTCCCAGTTGTTGCACCACGCGAAGGAATTCAATGTAGGATTTTGGAAGATTCAACTGCTGATTTAGGCGTCCTCTGAGGGTAGGATTGAGGCCTTTCCTGAATGCCGAGATTTTGGTAACATCAGGCCAGTCTTTGCCCTTTGCCTCATAGAGAATCCTCTCGAACTTGGCAATGTAGGCTGCCACAGATTCACCACTATCCTGCCTTAGGGCTAGTAGATGATCTTCAGCTTCTTGAATCTTATTGGGGTTGTCATAAACCAGAGATAGTTGATTGAGAATAGTGTTGTAATCCCAGGTGTTGGTGTCTTCTGCATAAGATAACTGGGGAAGAACTAAAGCTTGAACCTTGCTCTCCAGATTTAGATAGACATAGTAGAACTGAGCCACTGCATCACCTATAGCTGGGGCATCAATCCGAAGCTTAGCCTTCATCGAAGCAAGCCAGGTATCAAACTTCAAAGATTGACCATTGAATTTCTCAGGGTCAGGGAGGCATGGTTTCGGC